TTTTGGTTGCCACAGTTTCAGATACAATTAGTCATTAAGTAGTTTCAATTCCTAGGTTAATGGATCATTATTAGCCTTTATTTGTTTCCATTAAATAGTTTTCAATTCCTATATTAATGGGTTATTATTAGTATTTATTTTCTTTTATTGAGTCTTTTGTAATTCTGATGACAACGCTTCTATATCAGCTGAACCATTCTTATCAAGAAATAACAAGTGGAATTTTATTCAGAAATATTAGAGTTTATCTCTTTTATCTTAGTGAGAGTGATTCTCCTAAATTCTTGAGTGATTCAAGAACCCTTGGCTGTATCAAAGGACTGTCACATCCTTTGTGTGTTGCCTCCCTTGGGAAGAGTGATTCTTTCCTTCCACCTTCTTTCTAATTCCTAAATTTTTTACAAGGTTTTAACCCTAAAGATCCTAAATTACCACCTTGTGATTCATATCAAAAGAGTACTGAGAATTCACTTGTTTGTGTTTGACCCAAGTGGAATGAAGACAATTTTGAGCTACAGGATGGGGTCGGCTTGATCATCATGCTTCAACTAATATTCACATGTTGCAGCAACCAGTTGCTATTCACCTTGAGGACAAGGTGAATGTTCAGAGAGGAGTATTGTTAGGTAACCCCATTGGTGATTATTTTCGTTAGTCTAAGAAATACAAGGGGTTATGTTAATGGGCCCATAACTGACTAGGAGCATTGAGGGCTGGCTTATGTAAGTACCTGTAAATAAATAGGAAGAGGGATTTCTCGTGTGAAATTGGAGAGGATTTGAGCCTAAGGACAATGGGAAGTGCAGACCCTTGAAGTTCTGCAATCATACAGTAACCAGGGGAATTTTCCCATTTTTCTCTATAAATCTGATCCTGTTTCCATCGTGGCATATGATAGCACACTTGACGTTTTCTCACGACCATCTTGTTATCAAGTTATGGGGGGCTTCACAATGCCACATTCTGCACCAAAATATTGTGATTGCATTCGTTTTTGCTACTACTCATCCATAAACAAGATAAATGAAGTTTTAGCTGCCTTAAAATATCAATTACCTCAAGCATACAGTGAAGTTAACAATAAACATTGCAATGAGAAAAGGGGAGGGGAATCGAAACCAAACCACAAACCATGACAAAAACACTTGAAAGTGGCATAACATGTAAAAGATATCAGCATCCATGACCAAGAATTATAATAATAAGCATCCAAAATTATAGCAGGTAAAAGAATTCCTTACCTTCAATTTGAGAATGGCTTAAATGATTTACCCCACATGACTGGTGGCAAAAGAAGCAAAGTTCAATCATCAAGCTTCCTCATTGGTTAATATGTTCAACAAACACCACTCAATTTCTTTTCTGCTATGTCCATTTAAATCATCTTGTGTTCCTGAGACTGCAGTCATTTGGGGGGGTGAGGGGGTTTTGTAAAGCCGGTTTGGAGTGTGAACCGGTTTAAAAGCCTATTTTGAAAAAGGGATTTCAAAATTGTTTTAAAAACCTGTTTTTAATCCTAAAGCCTGCTGCTTTAAAAATGTATTTTTTTCAAAGTCAGTTTTTCTCAAATGTTCATTTAAAAGAAAAAAAGAGGGAAAACATGTCTTATATTGAATTTTCCATAAAACCAATTCAACTGTCCTACTCTATTTTTCAACTATCAATAATTTAGTCACAAGTATCCAACTAAATACTACAATTAGTGGTCTCGTCCTTTCACGGCCTACGAAACAAAGGCTCTTTTTTGTCAGTTTTGCTCTTTAAAATAAACAAATGAAGCAAGAAATGCATCACAGGTTCTGAACCTGCCGTTCTTTCAAAATGAGCCTCATGCAACCTTCAATCAAACTATGACACTTGTAATCAGTAGGTAACTAGTAACTAACCAGCACTTATTCTCCAATTACAAACAATGAGGTTCCCAATAATACATCAAACGAGCAGCCTGTTATACAAACAGTAGGTTCTGAACTTCTTGTCTGCACATCACATGATCTGTTGCCTTCAATGTTAAACCATTTAACTGCACACTCTTGGATGTACCAGTGCAAGTGCACCTATAAAGCCACACTCCATTTAAGGGTATCGGCGTCTTTCTCTCAATTCAAGCAAACCAATTCTGCAGGCAGATTCTTCTTCAGGCATTGTTCTTCCTTCAGATGCACAAGATGGATAATTATAGAACTTAATCTGCAGACAAGAGAGAGAAATTAACAAAGAAGGATATGATAAGGAAAAATAAAATCTTAGCATGAATGAATAAAGGTTTGTAGGGTGGTTCATGGATCATGGTCAGAATAAAGAATAGCAATAAAGATAGAAAGGATTCAAAGAAGAGTATAAACATCAATACCATCTAGGCGATAGACAGAATTAAAATTAATGGAAATGGGACCGGACTAAGTTTAGTTTCCAATATTATGTGTAAAAGGACATATAGTATCAAGGTATCTGTAATTTTAAGTAAAAAATGGCAACTAGACTTGTGTTCGAGATAAGTCACTAGCCTAGAACTCAATTCAGATACTGAAACTGCAAGAATGTTCTGGTTTATTAATTAATCAAGGGGTTAGCAGCTCAATTTTAAGACTAAAGCAAGGCCAAAGCAAATTTTGATTAGATATGGAACTTTATTTGGTACATCACAAGGGTGCTTTAGAAGTTACAAGCTGCAGATGTAGGCATATCATTAGATTTGCTTTTCTTTCAAGTTCAACCTTATCATTTAAATGCTAACAGATGCTTCAATAAAATTAATAGATCATAGACATCAAATAGTAAAAACAAATTGCGGCAAAAGCAACAAACATCAGCGCTAAATGATGATGGTTAATTAACCAACTTACATTTTTAACATCTTATGTTAGAACAGACATCAAATAAGACATTTTTATGCTATTAAGGAATCAAATTTAAGAAATGAAGGATCCTCATCATTACAAAATATTTGTAATTTAAATAATTTTCGGAAGCATCTTAAACTAATTTACAAGGGTTGAAAGGTTCTAATAAAAGTGTATTAGCATCTGTTAATTCTTTTATTTCAGTCCATAATATATTATTTCAGCAAACAAGAATTGACTCAGATAAAAAATTATATTTCCTATGAGGATCAATTATTGACCATGTGCATGAGATTGCTTCGTTAAGGGGGAAAAATAATTACATTTTGTTTAATATGCAAGTGTTAATCAACAACCAATGGAGTTAAGTTGACAAATAAGTTCCAATGGCCACCGTTTTCTCTTAATGTGTACCTCCATCGTCTCTCAAACTGTAAACAAACTAGTTTAAAAGTGATCTTGAACTTATTGTTTGTTGTCAGCACTTCTATGTCTAAGCTTTTAATTAATAATTTTACAAATTATTATTAAATATAACATTGTCTCATCCTGAACCTCAAAAGGATCTCTATTCTTCCCCTCTAGACCTTTCCTTAGCCTGTGTCATTTTATAGGTCTCCGAGTACATAACCTTTCAAACATTACAAACTTCTAGCTTAATTTTTCCTCACTATGTTTTATCAAATCACCATCTGCAACCAAAAATACTAGGATATCAAAATAGGCTCAACTCGATGAATCAACCCGAAAGATTCGAGAAATAGACCAAAAAATATATGATCTAAATTGAATTAGACCTATTTTGGCCTGATCTAAGAACTCACCCATTTTATAGAATAATAATTATTTTTTAAATAAAAATAAAAGTAATATTATTTCATTAAAAAAAAATATATATGTATTATAAATTAATGTGACAGGGATTAACTTATTTCAAGAATAAATATCAAAATAAAAATCAACTAATAACTTATTCCAAAATCTTATGATTAAGATTAATTACTATTTTAAATTAATAAATTATTAAAAATAAATAATGATAATAAAGATGAATTTGTAATTCTTATTTTAAAATTGAATGGATACATTCTCTTATAATTTATATATTAAATCATTATATCTTAAACAAAAATTAATTTCATTAATAAAATTTAAATTCTCAAAATATATTTTTATTTAAATATGTTTTAATTAATTTTATATAGATATGTTAATTTTTTTTTTTTAAAATCAATCAGGCTAAAATTGGTCCATTAGCCCGTTAGCTAGGCCAAAATTTTTGGCCCGCTTTAAAATATAGGTAAAGCTGATCCGTAGGGTTAGGCCAAACTGGGCTGCCCGACAGCTCTAAACAATACTGTGTCATTTTTACATATAACAACATAAAAGGAACAAGGGTGTAAACCCAATGGAACTATGATCACTGATATCTTTGAACATAAGAACAAATAGATTTGGAAACTCAGGCAATTTATAGAGAATAAAGCATTCTATCGAGTCAAGTTTTCCGTAGAACTAACCTAATCAACAAAGATCCAAATTCCTCTTTAGAGACCTTGGCATAGAAGACTTGGTAGTTCTACATGGCATATTGTTGTTAAAGTAATATATCCTAAACATACATAAAGATGTACAAAAATTAGTGATTGGAATCTTATTGGGAACTACGTGACCCCCCAAAGTTTTGCAACTCCCATATAATTTATGATTTTGACCTCCTCAAACTTAATGATTATTTTTAATATATTTACAATTTTATCCTCTCACTCTCCCATCAGTTTTGTAACTCTCATATCATTTATGATTTTGCCCCCCAAACTTAATCATCATTTAATATATTTATTTATATATTTACAATTTTATCTTCTTAACCTTTCATCTTCTTTCACCCTTTTATATTTATTTATTATTTATTAATAATATATTATTTGGTTTCCCCAAAATCAAATCCATCCGAATCCAGAAGACAGAAAATAAGTCTAGAACTATACACCCCCACTATCTAAAAATTTAAGCTTTCTTAGTAATAAAAAATGAAAACATGTCTAGGTTTCCATTTAAGTCATTGTCTAGGGAGAAAATCTACATTTAAACTAAATGCAACATAAATCAGTATCCCCGAGAAATTGCATTGAGAGGAAATAGATGAATTACCTATCAAGCACGGCGTTTGCTCAATCGCCATGAATTTGGCTCATGGTATCTATCATAAAGTGGTTCAATACGCTCTTGACGCTTCCGTTTGCTCATCTTTGTAGGATCTGCTACTTTGAAAAATCTTGGAGCCAATTCAACAAGCCATTTGGGGTCTATGACGGTGACCTCACGCATATATTCCTTAGTTGTCATCACAAGCTCATGGTAGATGACCCAATCTGGCTGCCTCTGGAACAAAGCAGAACTAGGATGGATATACACGGGTTGGTTCTCAACAAGGGTTCTGTACCCTTCCTGGGGATCCTTTCTAGAAGCATGAAAAAAGAATCCAGCAGTGATAGCCTTCCTTACTTTGGTGAAATTTTTTCCAGCACTTACAACATCTAATTTGTACCTGCATATCCATACAAATGATTTAGAATCCATTTTTATATGATTAAATAATAATGCAAGGAACTCTAGTCAACACAAGAACTACCAACCACACAAATGTTGCTTACAACAAGAACAGGAAGCCCGAAGTCAACAAATACATGGGATATCCCTCACATAAAGAGAAGAATTTCCACTTTTCTCGATACAAAAAATCTTGTACTAAAAAACAAGAAAATTCATAAAACCATTGGTAACCAATTGCGTATAATAAATGTATCAAACAAAAAAAGTACAAAAAGCAAAAAGAAAAAATTGAAATCAAAGCGAATAAACATTTAAAAGAATAGATGGATTTCATACTTATCCATTATGGTGAGAAGTTGTTTCCTGACATCCTGTGCTCTTCTCAATGATCTGGATTGCACAAAATTCTCAAAACACCAGGGCCCAGAAAAATTCTTGGCTTTCCAAGCCTCGTAAACAGCAAGTAGTGTAAGATGATCACCCTCTGGCTGGAAAAACTTTGCTCTCTTCTGATCTGCTTGGGCTTGTTTTTCCCTTGGCCTGTAAAAAATATTTCCAGTCTGGATCATGGCAATTATGGTCAAAATCTCATCACTGCATCCAAGGTCCACACTGGCAAGCAACATCTTGGACAAAGGTGGATCCAAAGGAAATTCGGCCATTTTCCTCCCCAATTTGGTCAAAAGGCCCTCTTCATCCAATGCTCCAAGACTGTAGAGCTGCTCCATGGCAGAAATCAATGCTTGGGGTGATGGTGGATCCATAAAATCAAAGGACAGTAGATCATTTATCCCCATAGCTTTCATATTTAGTGTAGTCGTCCCGAGATTTATCCTTTGAATCTCAGGAATTGTAGTGGGAGACATCTCATTCCTATATGCACTCTCAGTATAAAGGCGATAACACTTCCCAGGTCCGGTTCGCCCTGCACGTCCAGCTCTTTGTTTGGCTGATGCTTGTGAAATTGGAGTGATCACCAAAGAATCAAGACCTTGCTTTGGGTTATAAACATTTTGCTTAGCAAATCCAGGATCAATTACATAAAATATCCCATCAATAGTCAAAGAAGCCTCAGCAATGTTAGTAGCCACAACCACTTTCCTTTTCCCAGGAGGAGCAGGTTCAAATATCCTAGACTGCATTTCACTAGGAAGGGCACTATAAACCGGTAAAATGATCAGCTCTGGAACATTCTTGCCTAATCCTTTCATTCTCTCATATAGAGATTGGCAAGCAAAATCAATCTCCTCTTGCCCAGTCAAGAAGAGAAGAATGTCTCCCTCCGGCTCTGTCAAGTGGATCTGTAGGACCGTTATTAAAGCTGCATCTAAGTAATCACTTTCAGGTTGTTTAGTATAAAGTATCTCTACAGGAAAAGTTCTACCAGGAATTGTAAAGATGTTACAGTTAAAGAAATATCCTGAAAATTTCTCGGCGTCCAGAGTAGCAGAGGTGACAATCAATCGCAATTCAGGTCTTCGCTTCACTAGCTGCTTCAGCAGTCCAAATAGAACATCAGTATGAATAGTCCTTTCATGGGCTTCATCAAGCATTATAACAGAATATTGTGACAGATTCTCATCGACCAATATTTCTCTAAGAAGCATACCATCTGTCATGTACTTGATAACAGTATCTGGTCCAGTGCAATCCTCAAACCGAATAGCATAACCAACTTCTTCTCCCAATCTACAACCAAACTCTTCTGCAACTCTCTTCGCAACTGACATTGCAGCCACCCTACGTGGTTGAGTACATCCAATTTTTCCTTTTGTGGTATAACCCGCTTCGGCAAGATACTGTGTGACCTGAGTAGTCTTACCTGAACCAGTTTCTCCAATAACTACCAAAACCTGATTATCATGCACAGCCTGAATCAATTCTTTTTTTAACTTGTAAATTGGCAAACTCTGCCTCTGCTCCTGAATAGAAAGCTTTGACCTTTGCCCAAAGGTAATGGTTTTCCCATATGCGTCCTTCTTCCATTCTGGCATATCATAGGCTGATAAGCCAACACCCCTAAGCTCCTGGGCAAGATGCCTTTCACCAGACTCTGGCATAGGGTCTTCCCAAGGCCGATTGAGATCCTTTGGAATTGAATCAAGCATTGTCCGTTGTTGTTGTTCCCGCACTTCCCTCCGCTCCTTTATAAGTGCAGACTGGAGTGCAGCCGCTCGACCCAGAGAACCTTCAGGATTCTTAAAAATTTTAACAGGAGACATATCCATTGAGTATCTGCTCTGCCCTTGCAAGAATGCGGGTTCATCCTCATTCATCTCAATTTCAAGCTCCTCTTCGGCACCTTCCTCTTGGTACAACAATCCATCTCCCTCCTCATCATAGGTTGGATACTCTGAAACACTCATGACACCTGAAGCAATCAACTGTTTTGCTTCCCATTTCTCCGGAGAGCTCATTCTCTTCAGAGGTCTCCGCGAAGAACCAACATCATCTTCTTCTACAATCCTGATACCTGAAAGCCCTGTCCTGGCAACCGGCCCATCCCTTGAACCCTGCGGATTCATCCTCAAGGCATCATCCTCGGAGCTCTTCTTCAATGGAAGGAGATCCTTACCAGTGTGCTGATCAACGTCCCTCATGGAAAGCGACAACTTCTGACCCGAAACTGAGATCACCTTTACATAAACCTCCTGGTCTCTCTTAATCACGTCTTTGGCATTTGTGATCCTCCGAGTGGCCATCTGTGACACATGGACCAACCCCTCCTTCCCTCTTATGTCTTCCAACTGGACAAAGCATCCAGTCTCCATTACACGAGACACCCTCCCTTTATAAACGGCATATAATTCAGGTTCACCAGAAGCATGCCGTGTACCCTTCCTGTTGCCATCTTTATCCCCATTCTCCCTTCCACGCCCATCCTCTTCATAATCATCTCTCCTGCGCCTCTCATGCCTATCACCATCTCTATCTCTATCTCTATCCTTATCATATCTATCTCTTCCTCTTCTGCTGTAATCCCTTCTATCATCTTCATTATCTCTATCTCTACCTCTTCTGCTGTAATCCCTTCTATCATCTTCGTCATCTCTGTCTCTTCCTCTTCTGTGGTGATCCCTTCTATCATCTTCATCATACCTATCTCTGCGCCTATCTCTTCTATCTCTATCTCTGTAACCATCATCTTTCTCAATTTGCTCACTCTGCTTCTCCCTGGCCTCAGATTCTATCTCCATCCGAAGCTCCTTGGCTCGGTCTCTATCGTCTGCAATGGCCAGAGCCTTGAACTTGGTCTTGCCGTTGCCACTCTCTTTCTCCTTCTTCAAATCCTTCGGCTTGGGAGGGAGAATCGCGTGAATAATAGTGAGGAGCGTTCGGACAAAGTAATCCGGCATCTCCGCACCATTCTCCTTCAGTTTCGCGTCAAATTCCTCAACATTCTCCGATGATCGACCCAACTCAGTGATGAACTCCGCGAGAACCTTGTCGCCGGTGCCGGTGTGGGACTCCAACTCGGTGCACACCTTCGACACTAGCGACAGGTATTCCAGCTTCTTCAATCCATCCTCAGGATTATCTACCGCCATCTATCGGAACCCTAATTAAAAGAAAAGGAAAAAATAAATATTCGTCAAAAATCATTGAGTTCAAAATAAATAAGCGCTGAAATAAAGGTTCAGCCTCTTCCAGTGAAACAAAATTGATTACGATGTAGAATGTAGGGTTCAAAAGCATGCGACACTGTATGTACCTGCTCAATGGAAAAACAGGGGTGTTGGTTTCGCGTGCAGACGATTGAAGTGGGTAGAATCTCCTCAGAGCACCGAAAACCTTGTTACGCGTCAATTGCTGGATTTTGGAGAAGCCTAGTTACAGGAACAATTGGATTCGAGGTTTGAACGGGGAACAACATAACCTAATGCAAACGAAGCATTCTTTCACGCACCTGAATGGAAATAGATGAAAATAAAAACAAAGAGAGAAGAAAAAAAATTGCAGGTTGTTTATAGATAAAACAAGGGAAAATATGTATATATAAATAAAATATGAGAATTTTAGTTGTTTTATAAATTTATAAATAAAAATATGTTTATAACATGGAAGATGATTCTTTCACAACTTAGTTTTTTTCCTACAACCCAGCTCTTATAAAATAAGAATATTTCATATAATATAATTTATATATTTAAATATATTTGTAAAAACTACATCCAAAAAAAAACATTCCAAGTCTAATTTTTTTAATACAAAATTTATATATTTGATTTCTAATTTTTTTTACAGTTTTGATTTCTTAATTATTAATTATCGATAATTTTTTTCATTTTAATTATCCGATATGGCACATTGATATTAGAGAAACATAATTAACAAACGATATAGACTTGTTACCATAAAAAAAATTGATAAGTATATTTTTAAAATTGAAAACTTTAATAAAGCTAAAAAAAAATTAAGACATCAAAATCGTATACAAAATGTATAACGAAAGTTACGTAAACTAAAAATTAATGGAAAAATAGAAATCAAAAGTATAAATTTGGTAGAATAAAATGGCTAATATTATTAAAAAAAAATTAATAGTTAAGGAAAGCTTTATTTAAAAATAACAAAACATAATTTATCTTTTATTCAAATCATTAATATCCTTAACTAGAAAATTATCATGATAAAAAATATTATAAAAAAAGTGATATTTGATTAAGAGTTTAGTAGCATAAGTGTCATTATTTATTTTATCCGGTTTTTATCATGGGACCATTGTCCTTTTAGAAATCAAATCCGTGACATTAAGTCTAATAACTATTGTGGAGTAGCATCTTAAATTAATACCAGTCACTTTTAGAATTGTTTGGAAGGTGTTTCTTAATATACATGATTATAACTTTTAGATTTAAGAGTGAAAATGCAATTCAAGAATGTTTATCATTGTACACGAATTTAACCAAAGACAAAGGTTTGCATCCAAGAGATAGAATGAGGATACAATAATTGCAACATAGTATGAACGAAATTGAGAGATGGAGATGAAGTTCAATATGTCGTTTTGAGGAGGTTTCACAATACTTTCAAAAAGATTTTAAAGACAAGTATTTTAAAAAATAACTTGAATAGATTTTGCAAAAGATAGCAAAATGAAACACTTTGTTTTATATTAGAGTGTTTCACTGTAATTCATCATATTAAAACCAAATATTGTATATTTACCATTTATAATAAATATACAATGTTATTCTTAATAATTCTTTAACTTTTCATTAGTTAAAATATGAGTATGGTTTATTATTAAGCTACTCTTAACTTTTTCAATATACTAAATATTTTCAAGCATTACTAACAATGTTTGATAATATTATAGGAGATATATTCTCATATAGAGAATATAAGATAGATATACAAATAAAAATAATGATAATGAAAGATTATATTTAAAGTAGAGATTTTAGTAATATTCTTGTTCATGTAGATTACTTCATTGTTTTTTTGTTTTTTCATGGTTGCATCTTCATGCAAAGTTATGAAGGACATAAAATTGAATCCAACTTTAGTTTATACAAATTCGAACATTGTCTTCATGCTTTTCATAAAATTTGTTAGTTTTTATGCATTTGTATGGAGAGTATGGTGAAAAACTAGTAAGAAAGTCTTTGTGTCGTTTTACTTTAACGGATTAAGCTTTTTAGTATATTCTAAAAAAAAGTTTGACTTGAGTAAAAAAAATAATCCTTGAAATTTGTACAAATATGAATTGAAAAAGGTGCATTCTAGGTGGATGTAAGACTAGTTTTTGGAGTAGAAAAATTATTCTAACACAAGTAGTCTTTAAGATATATTGGACAAGTTAGATTAGCATAGGATATTCTACTATTGGCTTATTATGTGGTATATTATAGAGATATTTAATATATTGCTTCTTATTGGTTGGTGTATGCGGTTGCAGCTTAAAATTTATAAAACATTGATTCTTACATTCATCTTACAAGTACATATAGTACTCAAAACTTAATTATATTTATTATCATCAAAATATTGGGTAGTTTAAACTATTGTAATACTTAAGATCATCAAGTCGTATAAGTATAACAATCTCCATTTTTTTTATAAAATTATTATTAGTTTTGTAATAAAGTATAACAAGTTCCATGAGCTTCCAAACATAATTATTCTATAATGGGCCCAAACATCAAGCTTCCAATGTTTTGTTGATTTTTGGGTTATATGCTTAAGATGAAGGGAGACTATCAATGTTGGAACGATGATATGGTCCTCATGTTCAGATTTCCAAGAATGACATCAACTAAATAGTTCTAGGTTAGATGATGGCTTTGTTGAAAAGAATGACTGAATTGAAGAAGGAATAAATTAAATTATAATAAATTTAGAAAGATTTTCGAAAAATAGGATGGTCAAATTTTCACTGACCATCACCAGACAACAAATTATTAGGTTATCTACTAATCAATGAGATTTTTTGCCAATAAGAATAAATGATATGACCAAGATTATAAGGCGAAACTAGCAGTATATGAACAAATATAAGGACAGTAGTTTATATGAGTGCAAATATAAGCACAATGTAGGGAAGAAAAGTTGTATACACAAGAATTATATTTGTTCATCATTCAGTTCAGAACTACATTTGGTTGTCTAGTCACACCAACTAGATAATTCACTAATTTTCAAAAATTGTACAAGAACCCTACCTTACAAACACAAAATAAAACTATAACCATTAATATTGAACTCTACAACATTACCAAGCTACTTATGAAACACTATAATGAGACTTAGCTTTGACCATACCAGTCAAGAACTAATCTAGTCACACCAACTAGACCCGACATAGATCTTACACACCACAAGATCAAAGAGTCATTGTGTGAAACACTATCACATATCCAACTCAACTAGGGCTATCAAATCGTGCAGTCCAACCCAGCCTAGCCTACCCCTACGGGCCAAGTAAAAAATTTTGATGACCTAGCCTAACCTATATTTTAAAACAGACCAAAAATTTGGCCTAGTTTGACCCTGTGTTAGGCTAATGGATTAACGGGTCAATTTTGACTTGATTGAATTAAAAAAAATATTAACATGTTTATATAAAATCAATTAATTAAAAAATATTTAAATAAAAATAAAAAATAAAAATATGTTTTGAAAATTTAATTTTTATTAATGAAATTAGTTTTTTTTTTAAGATATAATGATTTAATATATAAATTATAAGAAAATGAATCTATTCAATAAACTTACTCTTTATTATCATTATTTATTTTTAGTAATTAATTAATTTAAAATAATAATTAATCTTAATCATTAGATCTTGAAATAAGTGATTATTAGATATTTATTCTAATATTTATTCTTAGAATAAGTGAATGTCAAATTAATTTATAATACATATATTTTTTAATAAAATAATATTACTTATATTTTTATTTAAAAAATAATTATTATTCTATAATACTGGTCGATCTATAAACCAACGAGCTAGCCTAGCCTAAGCCCATATAAATCATGACCTCAATAGGCCAAACCAAAATATGTCTGATTTAATTTATGTCACAAATTTGTTGCCCTAGCGTGACCTATTTCTCAGGCTTTTCGAGTTGATCCATCAGACTAAACCTATTTTGACACCCATAATATGAACAACAATGTAAAGAATAACAATTTTGACCACCTTGGTCAAGAACATAACCTAACCACACTAATTAGACAAAACACAAAAAAGAACGATGTTAACAACAAACAATAAATATGCAAACATAATATAATATGATAAACTTACACCTAACTTATTGTAATAAACTATTCTCACTTGAAGAATATCAACCTTTGAATGAATTCTGAGAGAACAATTTTTCAAAACTTTACTCTCTTAAGGAAAATATTGGACCTAATTTAGTTGTTGTTTTTAAAAACTTTTGAAACCATAATTTATATAAGAAAAGAGTTAAGGAAAAGTGGCCCATTAACAACTAATCGAGATAATTGATTTTTGAAAAACAAACTTAGTGGATAAAATAGTTTTTCAAAAATATTTTTATCTCAATAAGTCACTTGTATGTTCTAAAAAATTGGCTCATTGACTATGTATTTTAGATGAGAGAAGAATGATTACTTACATGGATAAACCTATAGGAGATAGTGCAAAAACAAGTGTGATGTAATTGGTTACATCAAATCTAAAAGCTTTACAAACATGAATTCCAAAACCTAAAAAGCAGAAACATCATACCAATGAAGACCTACAAAAGCATCTAATGGTTGGATCAACTAATGGTGTGACAGTTGATAAGAATTTGTTAGAGACTATCTCATCTAATGAAGTCTCCTATCAATTAACAAGGTCACCTGGAGCAATTAAAAATAGATTGATACTTGGAGAAACTGATTCCAAACAACTCATTTGACTCTAGTAACAACATCTTGTTTGAATCTAGTGGTAGTAACAACTAACTTCAGTAACTGATCTAGTGTCTGACTTTCAATAGCTCGTTCAACAAACTCATCTACAGGTATTGTAATTGATGAGTGCATATGTTGAGTTTGTCTAATGAGCTCATATGATGCAACCATA